AGGAGCGGGCCGAGCGTCGCGAGCGACGCGACCGTCGCGCGGAGGACCGCGCCCGCGTCCTCGAAGGCCGGCGCGACGAGGAAGACGGCGAGGCCGCGGAGCGCGGCCGCCGCGCGGCGCGCGGCCGGCGGCAGGAGCGCGCCGCCGAGCGCGTGCGCGGCGACGGGGACGAGGAGCGCGAGCCGGAGCTGCTCCGCGCCGAGGAGGAGCACGCGGCGCGGGCCGAAGGCGGCCGCGCGCGCGCCGAAGTCGGCGCAGAGCAGCGCGACGGCGGCCGCGTCGGCCGCCGCGAGCGCGCCGAGCGCGCCCGCGCGCGGCGCGGCGCGCGCGTCGTACCACCTGTGGCGCCGCGCGAGGCCGCTCCCCACGACCCAGTAGGCGACGTCGACGGCGACGAGCGCGGCGTAGGCGGCCTTGTAGCGCCGCGTCCGGTAGAGCGCGAAGAGGGCCGCGGCGCCGCGGCGCCCGGCCGCGGGCGGCGCGAGCTCGCGGCGCGGCGCGATGCAGCCGAGCTTGGCGCGGTAGACGGCCCACTGCGCGCGCTTGAGCGAGGGCACGCGCGCGCGCGCGGCGCCGCCGTCGCGGCGCGTCGTCGTGATGTAGGTGAACGTGCCGTAGATGACGCCGATGAAGAGGATCGTGAAGAGGAACGCGGCGACGCCGAACGCGACGAAGTACGCGACGGCGCCGACGCCCGCCTCGGGCGCGACCTGCCGGTAGGGCCCGCGGGCCGCGTTGAGCGCGCCGAGGACGACGGCGTGCCAGTCGTCGAAGGAGAAGACGCGGACGGCGGCGGCGAGCGCGGGCCCGAGCGCGTCGAAGTGGTCGCGCGCGCGCGCGACGGACGCGCCCGCGGCGCCGCCGCAGCCGCCGGGCCAGTCGCGCGGCAGGCCACATTTCGCGTCGGGGCCGTAGGCCTCGCAGGCGTCGGCGCCGAGGACGGCGCCCCGCGGGTAGCTCGCGTCGGTGCAGTAGAAGAGGCGGCCGCGGAAGAGCTGCGTGCCGACGACGGCGAAGACGGCGACGGTGAACGCGCACGCGGCGACGACGTTCGCGAGCGCGCGGCGGCTGAACTCGAGCGCCTCGAGGAGCGCGTGGACGGACCGCGACCCGCGCGCGAGGATCTTGAGCGGGCGCACGACGCGGAGGAGCCGGAGGAGCCGCGCGGCGACGAGCGGCGTCCGCCGCCCCTTCGGCACCGCGTAGTACGCGAGGCTCAGCGCCGTCACGGCCGTGTCGAGGCAGTTCATGGGGTCGCGGAGGTACGCGGTCTTCGCGGGGAGCACGGCGCCGCGCGCGACGACCTCGACGACGAACTCCGCGACGAACACGGCGACGCACGCGTTGGCCGCGGCGTCGCGGGTCGGCGATTCTTGGCGATGATTGCGGCCCGCGCGCCGGTCGGCGACGTACGCGTCCTGCTCGACGGCGAGGAGGCTCACGGACGCGAGGATGACGCCGAGGATGGCCGCGGTCCACGCGCGGCTCCCGGAGACGGCGACGCAGAACCGGCGGGCCCGGGACGCCGGCGCGAAGAGCCCGAGCGACCGGTCGTCGGCGACGAGGAGCTCGAGCCGCGTCGGCGCGGCCGCGACGTCGACGGCGACGGCGACGCGGCCGCCGCCGGGCGCCGCGGCCGCGGCCGCGCGCCCCGCGGCCGCGGCGACGGCGACGGGCGCCGCGCGCGCGCGCCACGCGGCGAACGCGCGCCGCTTCGCCTGGGCAGGACAAGAGTGCGAAAGTCCCAACTTCAAAGGCTCCTAGCTCGGCCGGTTTCCACTCGTTTCGGCTGATTTTTGGACGAGCGATCATCTCTCGGAATGGTCTCGAAGCGTGGATGTTGTTTCCAGAACGCGCGCGCGCGGAACACTCACGTTGAAGCGACGTTGAATCACTCTTGTCCTGCCCTGCGCTTCGCCGCGCGGTCCGCCGCGCGCGCGACCATCGTCGCCGCGACCATGGTGACGCGCGCGTTGCGGCGGACGACCATGACGGAGTCGCGCTCGACTTGGTCGAAGACGATGGCGATGATCATGGACACGGCGACGTAGCGGAGCGAGACGACGACGAGCGCGAAGTAGGCGAACGTCGCCGCGCGGTCCCAGG